GAGATTCGAATCACCGAAAGGAACCAATTTCTACTATCCGTTTCAGGCAACGTTCTGTCAGACAAAGTTAAACAATACTGTTACCGTTATTAGTCGCTTGTTCCTCGATTGGGTACTGCAGCCATGTGCCAAAGTTGATCGTGCGAAGCTCAGAGATTGAAACAGGCAAACACACGCAGTTCATCGTAATTTGCCCAAGTTTTCTGGTAGTTGCGGATAGCTTCGCAATGATGACTAGTTTTAATGCGATAAAAGCAGCCGGGCCAAGTAATTAACATAACGAAAACGAAATAGTTGCACAGTGAGGAGGAAGTACCTAGAAATGAGGACAGTGTTCAGTTTGCGGCCTGAAACCACAAAAGTTTTATTTATACAAATAGCTTCAAGTGATGACTCAAACAAAACCATATCCATAGCTGTTCGTCAACCTAAACACATTATCATGTCCAGAGAGAATAAGGGAAAATGTGATAGTATCTGAAAATTGTAAAAACTTAAATTTGCATAGAAATAGACACTGCGTGAAGCAAAGGCAACGTAATTTGCATGGAACTGTGTGCTGAAGACTCATTACTCGTTTTCATTGCACGCTTCCCAGCAGACTGAATTTTTGCCGCTGTCGAAACCTCGGCACTCACAGTTCACGATTTACCAGCGGTCGTAAAATTACTATCAACGTTGTATGATGTCGCTCAGTCGCATAGACGCTCCGACCGTTTCCCTCCAAAATATCGATGCTGACAACACTGAATATATAATGATAATAAACGATAAAAACAAAATCATAGTCATCAAAATTGAGCTTATACTGTGCATTTCAGAAACGAGGAGTCCTTAAGCGAAATGGTCTTGATTTTCTAAGAGCTTACCATTCGCTGAAGATCAACAAAGAGCTTTTTGTCAAAGTAGCAATTTTATGGGCATAAAGCTTAGCGGTTATTGGGGCGGCGACCGTCTGTTATAGTGGACCGAAGGCCGATCGATCGAAACGATGGAGGCAACTTTGACTACCGTGGTTCAGATGTGCAAACTTATAGTCACGTTTACGATTAGTGTTTGCGTAATGGCCCGAATTTTCGAGAATTTAGTACTAAACTCTAAGTGCAACTTTCACCTGAACTATCGCTCCTCCTGTATCAAATTAAATGCAGTGCACATTAGTTTACTTCCATTTTACCTCATCAGATTTGAAAGGTAAAATTTTTAGTAATAAGATATTCAGGTACGTGTTGAAGGAGATATCGATTCGTTGCCTGCTTGGATAACAGTTAACGGTCATCCGATTTTCATTCACTGTTCAGAAAGTTAAACAGTTTAAAAAGGATTATGAAATTTCTTGAACTCACCGACGCGTTTCGAGGCTGCATACCAGCGTCGTGTTCAAGGTTATCGATACTGAGAGCTCATCAGTACTGCAAAACCATTTCAGTTCAATTCTGACCATGTAACGAAAATCAGACTGACACACCACGACAAGCAGTGCAGTGTTCAGGCAGAGATGAGTTTGATAAGAAGAAATGGAAAAGGAAGACGAAGCGTGAGAAAAAAATTTTTTATTGCTTGGAGCAATGATTCTTCATGAAAGTAATACGAAAACTTGCTTTTCCTTTTTATGCAAATTTCACTACCATTAATCGTATAGATCCTGCGCTCAAATTTTACCTTTTGCAGCATTTCGCGCAGATTTATCACCGACGGTGCATCAAGTTTTTAGGA